ACAAACAAAGAGTCCTTGCTAAAGTAAATAATACTTTATGTATGTGATATTTATGTGCACAATAGTAATGGTAATATTGTAAATACACAATCGTCGTCAATAGGAACCATTTCTCTTTACACTAATTCACAAAAAAAGTCAGGACTGGTATGAACGGGTATGACTAGTGTTTTCTTCATTTATTGGTATGTCAGGTATCATTTTAACAGTATATCTATTAAATCTTTCTGAACATTTCTAAACATCTTTAGTGCTGTTTGAAGGTGTTCTAATAATTATAAAAACTGGTTTTCAGTTGACAGTGCAAATGGTAAAAACAGGCAAACCACAGAAGGATCCTCCTATGTTCAAAAAACCCCTGCAAAAATAAATTACAATAAATATATTAATATTTAGAAATTCTACTTTTGAATTAATCTGTGCTCATTTCCTTCAATGACAATTATTAAGGATGCTGTATTTACTACACATCAGTAGCAACCATCAGTGTTAGAGCATAGTAGGTAGACTTCACTGGTGGTGTTGAAATAAAATATAAAATACTGTATTTGTATCAGTATCAGCTGAAATATAATGTCAGTATGTCAGCAAAACATCAGTTCAGTTCATCCCTAATATAATTATTCCATTTCAGTAATTAACAGCAGCAGTTTGTGACCAGACAGACTTAACACATTTACAGTAAATGCTAAGTCAGTATGATCTGACTGAGCCCCTAAACCCCCAGGACCCCATAGTCTCAACCCTGACCTGGCCGGTATGTGACATGACACACAGGAGGAGGTAAGAGACACCCGGGACAAGCTGGATTCTCTTTCCATCTGAGACAGGGGTGTCCCATATCAGGGCAACACTGGATCCCACGCAGCGGTGCTGTTAAGTGCTGTGACACTTTGAGATATAAGGGGAGCACGGAGACCCATATTGGGAGTCTCGCACTCGGTGCTCTTTCTTTTCGTCTTGCTTTATTGAGTCATGTGATAGATAGCCACAATATAATACGTTGCAGAGAATTATAAAGTATTGCAGCATGATTTACTGCTTCTTAAAGGAATAAAATTAAATACACATGGAGCAGAGCTGGAGGGTCTGCACGCATTGTTGATGAATTTAACTGACTCTCCGCTGCTGTTCCTCTCTTTCTTTTTCTCTTGGTTTTAGCTCCTGGTTCTGTTGTACCTTTTGACGTTCCTGGGACACCTGTGCAATGGCCTTACTTTGCTCATCATCAGTAAGAAACAGACATCACCCGCTGTAAATACGGAAGCTATTAACATACTGGTTGTCTGTCACATTAACTACTCTACTTTTGGTCGTCTTTCTTCTCCAGGTGTGATCGCTGTCTTTTCTCTGCCACTTTTCTACAGACAACGCCAGGTAATAACTCTCTTAATTAATACTTATTACTGTCATTTTTACTGGTCCTTCATTTCCATATCCATAAACATATCTTTTTCTGTTATTTCACAGGAGCAGGTGGACACCTACATTGCAAAAATCCAGGCCAACTTTGACAACATCAAGGACACGTGAGTATGCTGCCATCTTCTGGCACAAAGTTGCCATCAACACAGGTCTACTGGTATTCTGCTACTGAGGCAGTTAGTGCGGTGGCCCTGAGGGTTCAGCGCACTGCAAGTTAAGAAAACAAATGCAAACAGACAAAACACAAGCAAATTAGGAGAAAATGCTTGGCAGCACATGCAGAGTAAGAAAATACAACCAAATACAGAAATTCTGCAAGTAGCACAGACAGCAACGGAAACTGTTTCCAGGCAGACACAAGAAAGTGATGAACACGGCTTTGAAAAGTTCCACTATGGCTTGTTTTCCAGTACCACTTATGGATAGCAGCCTTCAGTAACTTAAACAATCACAAATCCCAGCCGTGTGACAACCGTGTAGTGTTTTGGCTTAAATAATATTTTCAATATGTAGTCATAGACTTCTTTGTGTTTGTAGGTTATTGTTGGTTATAGAAAAGTGTATGGGCTCATTCCCCCTGGACTTTTGGACTGCCTGGAGACAGTATTAGGATAATTGTTGGGTTAAGTGTTCTATTGGCTATAGCTAACCTATAATCCGGTGGCACGTTAATAGGCAGAAAAAACAACGTAGATGTTAGGATTGATCCTAAATTTGTTGACCTGCACAAATATTCTATTTCTGTTTCACAGCTTTCAAAGACTTGCCCATGGTGGTGGCCCTCCTCCTGACCCAACTCCCGGTGGCGCCAAACCCAAAGGCCAGTAAACGCTGATGGACAATAACTTAAAGAAAAGCTTCCCAGAGTTACAGGCTGTCACTCAGATGTCTTACCCAGCAGTCAGTGCTCCAGAGAAACGGAGCTCCAGAGACTGGGGAAGGGAAGGGAGGTTACTTAATAAATGGACAATGATGAGGATCACGCATGGTACTTTATACTCTAACTGTATCTAAGTTATGGGGTCAGAGGTTGGGGTTTTAGGTTAAAACTTAATCAAGGTGTATGAATCCTGGATGAGACTCTTGCTGCTGGCGTCAGAGGTGGAAAGATTCAACGACACAGCTCGTCACACGTGACCATCCTTGGAAATACTGTTTTTAATATGTAAAAATGACTCAAGAAGTGTCTTAGATTGTTGAGAGCTATAGTCCAAATGAGGTACTAAGACCAGGAAGCTTCCACACCGACAGCTACTCACCAGAGAAAAAAGGGAAGTCAGTTGTTAAGGTGATTTAAGTGAGGGGACAAATACAGGGGTTCATCATTATTCATGGCAACATAAAAAAAATGGCAATTAAGGATGCATGTGTCAGCGCATTTACTTTTCTGGCTGCATTTTCATTCTCATGACAGTTTATCTGGATGTATGCAAGTGTGAGTGTGTTTGTGTGTGTGTGTGTAATTCCATACAGCTCGCTGAAATGAAACCTAAAAGCAATTAAAGTCACATTTCTTAATCTTTATTTTTGCAAAACTTTCTGTTTCTTCTCGTCCACATATACTTTCACTCACACAGCTCATTCGTTTGAGTTTTTATTTTTTTTATTTTATTGCTGGTCATATTTTCTCATGTTACTTCATTGCCTTTAACACTGGGTGTTGCTTTTCCTCGTTCATTGATGTAAATGGGAAGTTGAAAACATAATATTCAGAGAGATAGAGATAGATTTCTCTGCTACGAGTTCAATAGTAAAGATGTATCATAGATGGAATGAAATCACTTGACAGGAAGCGGACAGGAAGCATCGAAGGTGTCAGTGTTAATTTTGGGATGGAATGTATCGATGATACAAAAAGTGCTCTCAGATAAATCTCCTCTCCTTAATGTGATATGAGGGAATGTGGGCGTGAAATACAGCAGGTGCCTTTCTAACTGCAGGTTATAGTGCATGATCTGATTCACAGTGCTTACAACTGCTGGCAACAGCTGACAGCAACTTCCCCCATAACAAATCACTTCTCATTATCGGACCATTGCCTTCCTGAGAATGGTGTTTTGTATGTGTACACTACTTGTGTGATAGTACATGTGTGCCATGACAAGGTATCTTATACAGAATTGTAAGTAGATCCATTTTAGGAGTAATAAAAGTATTCAGGATTCTCTGCAGCTCAAGTCCACATTTCCCTTTAGCGCTTGCTTTTAAACCTCCCACCAAAATGTGTCTGTTACTTTGCCTTATTATCGCATAAAATACCTGTGTGCTGCACTGAACGCATTGTTATGTTAACAGACATGATCCATGAAACCCAGTCATGATGGCCATTAGCCTTAGACATCATGTGCTGCTTAGTATTGGACCTACAGTAGTTGCACACACACTGGCCTCCTGTAGCAGTTTCCTGTACTACTGCAAATGTCTTTTATTCCAAGAGAAACTTCAGCAAAGAGAATGGCGATAACAATGAAATTAAAGATACTCATTTCCTTACCTATATCCACACAGCTTGGCATATAAAAAAAAGGTTATTTTACCAACATCTGTCTTGCCAAACTATATTTAAATAAAACTGCTGTTAAACTAGTCAAACTCATCGTTTTTCGTAGAACTGTCTCACTAACTCTAGGCTACCACATGCTTATGTTTTATATTTGCTGTGTGGATGAAAGATAGAATCAGTCAAAACAGGAAAGTAACTAGTAAGTAGTTCGTCTAGTTACATGCATTATAGTAGTACACTGATAATTTTGTATTGTTGAAAATAACTAGAGTTTTAATCTTGGAAAAATAAACACGCTGAAACAATAAAACAAATGTGAGGGTTTTTTTACACACTGTAGATAGATTCATGAGAGATGTTAGAGACTGGACAGAAACACTTAGACCTTATTATAGTTGAATTCCTATCATTAAAGGTAAATGGACTTTTAGTAGAGGTTGTAACATGGGACCCGTATTTATATAAATTGTACTTGTACACAATGGATTATCAGTGTGGACCCACAGAGATATCTGTATGGGTTCATATACATTATTGTCAGACTAAAAACTGAACATAAACTGTAGGGATATTATATTAATTGTTATGTTGTAGTTACAGATGTTTCTGTAGCTTGGTACCCTGTTTGTTTCTGATCCATCCAGGGTTGGTTATTCTATTTTACCTGCAGGAGCAATCTGATTTAAAGTATGTGCATTTACTAGTGGTGGAATGTAATTAAGTGCATTTATTCATGTACTGTACCTTTTATACTTCTAATCCATTATATTTTAGAGGACAATATTGATCTCTGTACTGAAGTGTGTGCAATTCATAAAGATGTTTGCATATAGAACATATGAAGAGAAAATTAATTTAGAGTCCTAATCAATTCCACCTCAACCAACTACAACATTAAAAATTCAGCTTGGACATTAATTCATTAGTAATGATAATCTAATGATATAATAGAATAACAGTCAGAAGAGACATTTTTCTGCATTGAGTAGGCTACTTTTACTTTTAATACTTTACATGTTCCTGATTACCTACTTAATTCGGTATCATTTTCAGTGCAAGATTATTATTATTTTACAGTGTGGTTTTAGTAGCTACTTTACTTCAGTAAAGGATCTGAGTACTTCCTCCACCACTGGCATTTGAATTGGGCCCCTTGATATGTTCCGCTTGCCTTGTGAGTCTTCAGGTATTTCAGTTTCGTTTTGCTTTTGCATTTAACCACAAGGAGGCGACATAAGTCAAAACATTACTTCCATTCCAGTTTTCAAGTGTGTCTGACAGGACTAGGACACAGAATCCGTTCAGCCACTGGACAGTTTGAAGAACTACCCAATCAGAGGGAAAGTTACTTTTGAATCAGTCCATTTCTTATACAAATTGAGATAAATGTTGGTCTTGTGCTGTACTGCAGCTACAGTCTGTGGCCACTGGCTGCTCCTTGACTCAGCTGGCTACAAATGAAAAAAGGTCAGGGGGTCTGAGTGGGTTTGAAATTTCAGTAGTTTATGTATCATGTTCAAAATTGACATCAAGGTTGTCTTCTTCTCACTGGTGAGGACAAGTCTGGACTTGCTTGCACAGGGTCAACCTCCATGAGCTCATGGCAGTTAGTTGCACTGTGTAGTTGAGATTAACTCAGTAAAAGAATAAAGATAAATGAAATCAACTAGCAGAAAAAAGATAAACTATGTGTGGTCTTTTCTATTCTGTTCTACCCCCCACCCCCAAATAACCCAGTCTAATCTTCTGCTTCATATCTTCTAAAAGAATAAACATTTTATGACACAGACTCTGTCAACCTCTGTGTGTGTGTGTTGTGTGTGTGTGTGTGTGCAGAGCATCGCTGCTGGGAGGTGAAGTGGGTGGGGTTAGTCAAATCAATCTGGACATAAAATGCCTCAGACCCGCCCTCGCATTGTAAACTGCAGAGCCCCAGTCTGTAGTCCTGGTGGTAATCTGTCACTGTGGATTTGGCAGCGCGCAGGAGAGGAGCAGAGGTTTTACGCACGCTTGCGATCAGAAGCATTTGGCAAACTTTGTATTAGAGAGGGGATCCTGTTCTCATGGTGGGTCCTTCAACTGCCTGTCGAGGAGAGCGCAGTCAAGTGCTGGCTGATTGAATGTCACCCCCAGTCACAATGGATTACGGACGGACCATGGCTCCTCCTGTCCCCCCGCACAAGGCTACAGCAGCCCGGACAGGGCAGGCGCAGGAGCGGCTGCTGAAGTGCATCCTGCTCGGAGACGGAGCGGTGGGTAAAACCAGCCTGGTGGTCAGCTATACAACGAATGGTTACCCAACCAAATACGTCCCTACTGCATTCGATGACTTCTCAGGTAAGAAAATATTGCCATTTTAATGAATTAATAGCAATTAAATAAATAGGGAGATAGGAAAAAGGAATATCATCCCTAGAAGATAATATAGTTGTATAACTGCACCAGTCCAGTTAAAATGAGTGTAGGCTATAGAGATTGGACCCATCAAATTTGGGGTGAATTCTGGTGAATGAGACTTTAATAAAGTTTTTTCCACTATAAGTTGTCTCTACCTGCCTGCCTGTCTCACTAATTTCCACTGAACTCTTCTTCAACTTAGCCAGTTTTGAGAGCAGTCATTCTGCCATTTGCTGTTATTCCATTGTTATGATAGACGTGTTTGTGTTTCCTGTTATCTGTCATCCATCAGTGTTAATGCACACGAGTTATCCTCCCTGATGTATCCCGATTTCCATATGGCACGGTTCCACGTTCCAATCTGTCTCACTAGTCCCAGCAAGCTTTGTTTACTGCAAAATAATAGGACAGAACAAAACCCCTTCAAAGGGAAAACTTGTTTAAAACGGATCAGTGCTGGCATCAACAAATGAATGAAAAAACACCAGTGACCTGTTGATCACCTTTATTGCTTCATGATCACATTAGACAATCCCTCTTTAGCTTAAAAACTGAAAACCTAACTCTGTCTACATATGACCACCAGCTGTTGTTGTTACTGCTGGAGTGTAAATATATGAAAAATCACACATTACCACATTTTCATACTTATTTAGAATTAAAGAATAAATACTTGACATTGTATCCTGTAAACTGACTTTTAAATATAAACATTTTTGTCATTAATCTCAGTTAATTCTCTGACATTATACTGATGAGCAGTAAAACGAGCTACTTGGCCAACATAAATCCCATAAAACACTTGCTGAGAACACACACCACCCTCAGATGAGCGCTGCTTCAACCCTCCCATACAGAACAGAGAGCGTCTCTGGTTCAGGGGTTTTGGATTGCACAACTCTGCCTATTGTTGTCAGCCTTGACCCGCGAGCCCTCTCCTCTATACTGGAATGGGCACATCTGTTGCAGTGGCTCAGAGGCAGAGATTGTCTTTCGCCCCGGCCTGACAGAGAGTGATTGTGCAGTTGGGGCCCTTAATGGTGATGTCACTTCTCGGTGCCCGGAATCGAGAGCGTCCTCTTGAAAGCCGACTTCTGAGCACTTACGCAATGCCACAGGTGGCAGAGACACAGAGGAGTGGGAGGCTGGGAGAGGGGACGATAAGAGGGAGTTTTGGTCCAGAAAATCAAAGGAGTATCATATGTCAGGGATTAGGAAATTACTACACAATGGCTGCTCTCTCTCTAGCTTTCCCTTCTTTCTATCCTCCCGCTCTTTCTCCTTGCTTTTGTTAAAGCAGGGCACTGCGATGCCTGCCCTACTACTTGAATAGTTCCAGCAAACTCTTTGATCAGGTGGTATGACCGACCACACACTCCAGGCGTATTATAAATGTTTCCATGTGCCCGCTGCCTTGCATTGTGCTCACTCTTCTGAAAAGAATAAATGGCCCTATAATGAAACTCGCTGTAAGATGACTCATCCACTTTTCCAATCTGGAAATGAGGCCTATTGGAAGAGAGTCACTGAACAAACAAAATCTCCTCTGTTTTTACCCCCCACCCCCTATTAGACAACCTTGGAATGGCCTCTGTCAAAACACAATAGAGAACAAAGCTCACAGAGTGGTCCGAGCGATGGTAAAGTGTTATGGTCTCAACAGTAACTGGCAGAGTGGGTGGGCGAGACAGAGCAGGCTGTCTGCGAGCTGGAAGAGCTGAGCAGGGGGTCTTTGTGTTTTCAACTGGCAGGCTTTTGTTTATTCCACAGAATATTCTGGTGGGTAGTTATGTGTGTGTGTGTGTGTGTGTGTGTGTTAACTTCTAAAGTGTCAGGTGGGGCTTTATAGCGTACACAAGCTTAAAGTAATGTTGACAGCTGTGACTTATTTTCTCTGTGCGTCTGTTTTTGTGTCCACAGCTGTGGTTCAGGTGGATGGAAACCCGGTTCGACTACAGTTGTGTGACACTGCAGGACAGGTGAGTTTTTGTTCACACACAAACACAAATTGCACTTGACTCAATGGATAACAGTTGGTCCACTGCTTTGTCTGTGCTGAAATATCTTAACAGCTATTGAGTAGATTTGCCATGAAATTTTGTGCAGACATTCATGGCCCCTAGAGGATGAAGCCTGAGGCGATTCCCTGATTTTTCATTTAGTCTCCCCATAAAGTTCACATTTCCATCATCCACCACCACACATACAAATATCACAACAACTACCAATATACGTATTTTCTTCAGGATAATAACTTTGGTGATCCCTTAACTTTTCATCTAGTGCCCTCGTCAGGTCAAAGTTTTTAATCTGTCCATTACCTGCAAAGCTACTGACATTCCAAATATAATTGTGAATAAGCTTAACATCAGCATTGTCATTGTGAGCTTTAGCATTTAGCTCAAGGCTCTATTGTGCCAGAGAACAGCTTCAAACAGAGCGTGGCTGTTTCATGTTACAATAGAATATATAAATCTTTTAAGCCATTATTAAGTATACATGGCAAACATTCACCTCCTCCAGCCTCCAGCATGTTTTTATCGCATCTTGTTTTTTTTATCATTGTAAATCAAACACATTTAAAAATTGGACTGTTGGTCAGATGAAATTAACCATTTGCGCACCTTGAATTCTAGGATATTTTCACTTTTAAAATTATTTGATTGTTAAAATATTCCTTAGTTACTGTTTTTGTGTTTTGCCCATTTGGCCTTTACTGCTTTTCATTCTTCATATGGGCCTCTTACATGCTATTTCAGGTAGCTCATCTGTATAGAAATGGCAAAAAAATCTGCTGTCAGTCTTCATCTGCAATGATAATAACATTCCTCCACAGGATAGTTTGCATTGACAGAGTACTGAAAGGGAGGGAAAATCCCGTAGGTTAGACTGGAGGTGACAAAGCAAAAAAAAAACAACCTGAAAAGTATTCCTCTCTGTCTTTCTGCTGTTAAGGACACAGGGAGCTGGCCCGGCAAAAGTTATTGACTCATTATTATGTTGGTACTGTTAGGGCAATGGTGGAATGAACAGGTTGTGAAAGAGTGTTTTTATTTTCCCTGAAGCATGTGTGGTTGCTTCATAATCCAGCTCAATAGAACCCTGCCCTGGGAGCAGCATATTTGACATTCACAAACGCTGCGAGGGCACTGCCAGTTCTCCACAAAATCAAAGACAACTTGGCTGTAAACTGGAACGAAGCATTTGAACAAGCCCCTAATACGTGTACAACCTCACAGCATGTTGCGAGCTGCACACTGTGTTAGGACTGCATGTACACACATATGCACACGGACACACACGCAGACAAGCTTGGGCAAACACAGGCAGATAAAAGTCGGCTAACGCTTACTGTACTTATGCAATTTCATAAGAGGGGAGCTTGCTCCAGAAACAGGTTGGGGTGTGCCAAAAAAAAAGAGAGATGACAGAGAGAAGTAGAGAGTGAGTGAGCCGAGACAGAAAGAGAGAAACGGTCTGGAGAAAAATGATAACAGCTGCTGCCAAAGCTGATAAACAAAGTTGTTCCTTACTCAGAGATGTTGATGTCTGTATATTCTGCAGATGGACCTACGTCATTAGATCGCAAAAAGTACAGCCAAAGTTTGTGTGGGAAACTCACAAGTTGATAAGTGTCCATTGCATTTATTGAGTTTCAAATCCACATGTTGAAACAGCAGTTTGCTTCTGCAGATTTGGTTGTGTTTTAAACTCAGGAGACGACGCAGAGCATTGTTTAGGCAAAGGGGGATTAGGAGATGTGTGCTGGAAAGAAGAGGGTTAAGAGAAAGAGGGAGAGGTTTGTGTCAGGTTTCTGCCAACCTTAATCTGTGTTCTCAAGGGTGTGTGTCTCCAAAGTGTTAATTTAAGAGATTTACTAGATGATATGAGTGGGCAGGGCTTGTGTATACTGTATATTAGCACAATATAATCGCCATTTAGACAGCTTTTGTCATTGAATGGTTATTGGCACAGTTCCCTTTCCTGTGATGTGATTGTACTTGAGTGTGTTGACCAGTGAAATGAATACTGAAAGTGCATTAGTGTGTGGTCAGTCTGGGTGAGAAGTGAAACGCTGAATGGAAAAGGCTGGGTATTTTTATTTATATCATGGTCAGCACCACATTGATAACTATCTGTCTTTCTGTCTCCATCAGGATGAGTTTGACAAACTCCGCCACTTCTGCTACAGCCGGACTGACGCCTTGCTGCTCTGCTTCAGCGTGGTCAGCCCCGCCTCCTTTCAAAACGTCTGGGAGAAGTGGGTCCCTGAAATCCGCCGCCGCTGCCCTCTCACGCCCATTCTCCTCGTAGGTACACAGTGCGACCTGCGGCAGGATGTCAAAGTTCTGATCGAGCTGGCAAGGCGGAGGGAGAGGCCGGTGCTAGAGGAGGACGCCAGGGCGCTGTCGGAAAAAATCGGGGCAGTGACGTACATTGAGTGCTCTGCGCTGACGCAAAAGAATCTGAAGGAGGTGTTTGATGCAGCCATCGCTGTAGGGCTGCGGCACTCTGACAGGAGAGCCAGGCGGGAGAGGAAGGTCCGCAGCACAGCCGATAAGATGAAGATGCTCTCCAAGTCCTGGTGGAAGAAGTATGTGTGCGTCCAGTAGGGAGGGAGGATCCGATTGTCCTGTGTCTGATGATAAAACTGGAACTGCTGACTTATTGGCGGGGACTGAGTTGGATGTAAGGACTATTTTTACGTTCACCTGGACGACCCCAGATGTGGCGGCCAGAATGACTTTAGTTCAGCGGAGCAATAGTTCAACAGAGGCAGTGTGCCTGCCTGAGCTGTAGAGTGGGGATATTTTCCATTGTTGATGCCTAAAAGACAGATAGCATAAGGCTGTAACCACTGTCTGCTCCTCAGAGCCAGTCTGAACTGTTAAATATGACTGTGACCAGCATTCAACCAAAAATGATGGAGCTAATAAAGTTTTATGGCGCATGGACTGCATATCATACTGGACGTGTCCAAAGGAAATGTGAGCTGACTTGGAGGGGAGGTGTTCAGACGGTGATGTTATGTACTAAAAGTATACTCCTCCTGTTTGTCTGATTTGATACCCTTCTTTAACTAAATATATTATTTTCTATGTTCTACACTGTAATTCAGCCCCCAACACATCTGATGGATCATTTTTATTTTACTGAAATCAGAATATAAAGTTAATATAAGCTGCTCAGCTTAAACCCCCAATCGAAGATGCAATAATTTTACCGTTGAAAGTCAAAGCCAGTCGTGCACCTTGTTTCTTAAATGAGAACTTATTCAACTAATTCTCTTTCGGATTACAATCAAATGTAAATGAGTATAAATTCTTCTTAAATCTATAAGTTTTGGGGATGTGAAACTGTGGTTTAACATGTTGTAGTCCAGCTATTCAGTTCTGTATAACTGCAAGCTGGTGCAGGGATTTCTCTACTGTGCCACATTTTGAAGTGTTGATACAACTGCCACACAGCTAGAGGTCTGCGAGCTCCTCACCAATACACACTTACTACGGTCGATTGACGCTATGAAACATGGAAGGTTTAGAAGTTTCAGTCATTCACTTTGACTGAAAAGCTTCACTAAAGTGTAAAAAAAAAGCCTGTTTCATAGTTAGTGATAGTCATAGGTTGCAGCAATAAGTTGGGTGGTACCACTGTACATTGCACTTATCACACAGTCTAAACACATCACTGAAGACTTGCCATACAATGGCCTTTGGACCAGTGGTGTGAATTAGATATAGAGCAGGTAAATGCGTCTGTGGTGCTTGAGATTTGGGTTTACTCAGAGTCACTGGAACCGATCTGCATGTTCCCTGCACCACTGGTTTAGATGGTCACAGGGTCTTTTTCAGTCATTGTACTCAGAGCCTTAAACAGAAAATTACCCATCTTTGTCGGTCAGTATATCGGAGCTCTCTCCTCTTTTTGAAATGATGAAATGAGGTGAAATCACCAAAGAGACTGATTCTATATTTGCTTCTTATTTTTCAGAAGCCTGTCATTCAGCTCTGTCTATTTATCTGTTCCTTCTGGGCCAATAACTGATCAACAGCAATAAAGAGCAGATGCATGGAATATTTTATGTCATTATGTATGTTACATAGTAATCATTTATGATGTTTGTAATGTCATCAGGATAAATCTGTGTGTACATATATAAGCGACATTGGCTGTGCTGTCCAACTCTAAATGGTACTTAACAGTATGAGTGTTTCAGTTGGTGTCTGAGAGCAGTTTGTTGAGCTGTATGAGCGGAACAAAATAAAATGTGAAATATTTAACCTGTTTTCACTGTTGACTCTTCCATGGAGATATGGTATCTTCACTGTCACACTATAGAGACAATTATGTGATGATAAGAGTGGACGACACGCTTGCCTCCTGAGGTCAGGTGTCTTGACAGATCTCATATGTTTTGTATGTAGAATATAAGAAAGTGGAACCTGGTCTAGTTACAGAGGTTTCCAACCAAAATGTAGGTTATTGCCAAAAGTATTCCTGCAGTCTTACGAAACTTTAACGTGCCTTAAGTGGAAAAATACATTGAACCATATGAATAAAAATGCACTATTAGTTGAGGGTGATGATTTGAAAACTTATTTTAATGCATATAAACTTAAATTTTACTACTACTACTACTACTAAATTTTAATAAATTAAAAAACACACAGTGGCTGTGTCCAAAATCATTCACTAGTTAGTTTAGTTTAATTTACATTACAAGAAGACATGAAATCTTCCTTAACTAAAAGATTGGTGAAGGCTACTATATAGTCCAATATATAGCATACATGCATACTGTTGTCTTAATGTGTAAAGAGTTTATTATATTATTATACACTATATTTGACTTAAATTATCCCATAATGCACCAGAGAAAATAGTGTACAATTGATGGCCACTAACCATCATGCATTGCTGAGACAGAAAGGAGATAAAATACAAAGACAGCTGCTGGATGAGTAATGACCTGAGTAGTTTTTAAATTTTGCCATGTGATTCACCACATAGTCCTCTACGTATACAGTTTCCTGTATAGTGACAGTGAATAAGTAAACATTTTCAGACACAGTCTCACATTTTTGCAAAGTTGAGAAAGAGTTAAATGTGATTTCAAAGATTTATCCTCAGAGGTTTTGTCGGCATCCAGACTTCTAACTATGCAGGATCAGATGATTATAATTGCCTGAAATAGGCTTTTCCTCCTATTCATAGCTATGTGTCTACACCACAGTATACAACAATGGGCAGAGAGTGACAGTTAGCTAGGTATCTTGTACTTGTTTAGAAGCGCTAATGATAGGGTAGGCAGCTAAAAGAGAGTTTGTGTCGTCTGGCAGACTGCAGATGAGTATGTTGTCCGGCCTCAAAGTGGGTGAAACTAAGGCAAGAGTGGTGCCAAGTGGTCTAAATATGATAGTCAGGATGGCTCCACTTTCCACCAATATTTTAGCAGGAAACCCCATTGTTGTTTCCTCACAAGGTAGCCATCTTGAGGAATGTCCTGTGATTAAGCATTGTGGCTTTGTTTGGCTGTAATACCTACTCCTCTGCTAGGTTATTGTCTGTGGTCTGAATCTCGAGCTGTCAGTCATGAACACAGACAGGAAACTTATCGGGGATGAGGTCTACACCTCTCTCAGATTTCATGGCCAGATTGTTAGACTGTGTATCCATGTGCAAGTGTTTCTCTACTAATTTAGACTGCTTCGCTTAATCCAAATACCAAAACTGTCCCTGAGGTAGAAAAGTGAATAAATACTCAGCTCAGCTTAAGCAAACACATGTGGGGGTATTTGTGTAACCATATGTAAACTTAAATCGTAAAACATCAATGAGCCAACATCACCAAACCCTTTAAGACTATAGAATTTGTGTGGAGCTGAAAAAATATTATCATTCAGTGGTTATCCATGTTTGCACTGGAGCCATTTTATGCAGGTTCAGAAGCAAAACCAACATTTAAATGGCCCGTGGGTTGATCCAATGGCTTACACTGTGGCAGATATTTGGTTTAGCCCTATAGAGTTGCTCTGTTTCTCTCCAAGTGGATTTGGAGCTCTAGTATCTGTTGTTAGTTTAAAGAGGACATTTGCTGATGGATTAACCAGGATTGTAGAAATACTGACAACCCACAGTTTTTGACTAGCTACCAACCAAACTCAAACAAAAGCAACAATAGCTTCTCATCTAATTCTTGGCTGTCTTGCCAAAGGAGATAGCTACTACCTTTATATCTGTTCCTTCAGCAGGAAACTGGAACCAGCTGATTGTTAGCTTAGCTTAGCATAAATACTGGAAACTGGGGAAACAGCAAGCCTGGCCCTGTCTAGTGCAAAATCCCCATGAAATCACAAACACACCTAGATTTTTGTGTAGATTAAACAAAAAAGATAAAATGTGTTAATTATTATAAGAATCACTGTTTTTAGTTTTTATGCTAATTTAATCTAGGCTGCTTCATACTACGCATATTTCTTTAAAGGTTCAACTATTCCGTTAAGATCTAAATATTAGATATTAGAATCCACCTAAAATAAAACCAGCATGTGTAATATGTAATGGTAAAATATAAACTTACTGAAGTGTTACTGGTCGCTACGCTCCTAGGTGGGAACCTTTAAACTAATGATGGGTGAGATAATGGTGTAAAATGGGTGGCCCAGTCACTGTAGCCTGCTTCAGCTTTAAAAACTGATGGTTGTTGAACTTTTCAGTCCCATAAACCCACTTTCTTACATAACTTCTGAGAATCATTTAGGTAACAAGTGAACTCTGACTCCACATGAAAGAGCAGCTCTGTAATCAGTTTTGATGTCTTAAAGTTGGCGAGGGAATTCTCCGGCACCCCTGAGATAATTGCCAGCGTAATGACTGGAGCTCAGCCCATGGGGCTGGATTACCGAGAGACATTAACAAAGTCGATCAGGTCTGTGGGGTGGGAAGGGATCCAACCAGTAGACTGTGGTCTACTTTGTACATTGTCTTTAGGATTAACTATTGCCCAAGCTCTTGTAATGTGATGCAATATGTCTGGGGCCCCGATTAAAAGACACCCACACATAGACTTAACCAGCGATTGAGTACAGTTCATTATTCTTGACAGAAATCTGCTTTCAAAGTATGTTTAAGACCTTAGTCTGTCTTATAAGTTACTTAAGTGACTTGTTCTCATATGATCACAGGACTGTAAGCGTTAAGTGCTGAGTCTCTAGTGTGACTGTGGCACAGAGGTTTACTGAGAGATGAGAATGGTGTTAAGGGTTCAGTGTGCTTGAAATGTATGGAACCTCAAAATTTTCAGGACCTGCTAACAGCTAATTCGGCAGACTTTGAATGGTGCCTCAGTCATTACTTCTGCAAACTTTGCTGTTCAGACACTCAGATGCTCCATATACTGTAGGTGGTGAAGTGCCAGTTCACCGGGTCAAAAGTTCACTCAGACACACATTTTCTTTCCTGTCCACTGAGTAGATTTTGAAACATATGGAACCAGACAATAACCCTTTCAGTGGGGTGGATTTTGAGGTCTATGTCGCAGTGGAAAGCTTCAGTTAGTACAATGTTCCATGTTCCTTCATTATCCTCAAATCTGTCAGATGGACTACATCATGCTGCACTGAGGCCCCCTCCCCCGAAGGACCACCACTCTTTTACAAAAGATACTCATGCAGTGTCCCAAACAGTTAAGACACTGGTGGGGTTTTCCCCCTTTATTTAACCTTTGTGTCTTGATTTACAGAATGCTTTGTGAGATAATAATCACCAGACTTTGCAGTTCGCTTCAGCTGAAAGCATTTTGGCATCTTTTAGGTCACTGTTTTGATTTTATGACCCACATACCGAACATTCGGTTCACTTGCTTTCTCTCCTGTAGACTGTGTATGAGCTCAAAGAAGGTTTATGTTACAAAATAAGAGAATCTCTTTGCTTATATGACATTCATTATTTTTTCACTAATATATCTGAATGTGGGTCATTGGTGGTCTTGAGGTCTTGGTATTTACTGTAGTGCTGTAGTACTTCAATGTCCTCACCACCTGTACTGTATTACACCAGTTGAGGGGAACTGCTAAGCCAACACATAGTAAAAAGTACAAAAACAAAGGTCAAACAGTCTTTTAGTCTGTCTTTTAGAAATCATCTGTAAAGTAAACAGAGATTGCTGGAAAGTGAGAAATGAAAAGCAGAACATCTGAATAAAGATATTTATCTGAACTCTCTCCTCTTTTCTTGTAAGCACTACAGCCACCGACTCACTGTTAGCTAACACTGTGGTTGCAGGAGTAGCCCGTCTGGCATGCTACAGTATGGCGTTGCTGGCAGGATTATGTTTTAATAAGCTTATATAAACACCCCCCACAGTGTGGTCTCATTATGGGAAGCTAATTGAGTCGCTCTGTCCCGGGGTCATTGGGTCCTCTTTGAACAACTCAGTGTTTTGCTATAAAGAGGCCCATCTCTGCCTCCAGAACATCTGTCCTGTGGTTTGTGGAACATGTGTCTTTTCTTCAGGCAAACTGTTTGGACGTGAACATCTTTGTATCTTTGCACTTGCACAATACAGTGTAATTATTTATTGGTGCTTCAACTGC